CTGCGTTCTAGTTCCCCTGTGTCCTAGTTCACTGCGTTCTAGTTCCCCTGTGTCCTAGTTCACTGCGTTCTAGTTCCCTGTGTTGTAGTTCTCTTGTTTTCTTTTCCTTGCTTGTGTTTGCAGATTTCTGATAGTTTTTAATCAACCAAATGTTGATCTGTAGTTCTAGTGCTGAGGGCACATCTAGATGGAGAACATCTATACCAGGCCTTCCTGTCTGCAGCTGGTTGTTCTGGTTCTGCTCACCTGACTGGTGGCCTGGATGAACTCCTGGGCCTTGGCCCTGCTGGCCATGTTGGCCTCCTCCATCTTGAAGAGCAGAGCCGTCACTGATGGAGAGAACAGCCACTGGTTAGAGCTCTGGTTACCGTAGCAACCACCAGGAAGGGTTCAGGCCTGATGACCCATTGCTACGCCCCGACCTTCACCAAGCAGAGAGCAGCTTCTAAGCAGTCGGATCTAGATCAGCTCTGCTCTAACACACCTGAATCACATATCCACTGAGGTCATCAGTGAGGTCATCACTGAGGTCATCAGTGAGGTCATCATTTTGATTCTGGTGTACTGGACCCCCCCAGGCTTTGACACCCACCCTGATCCACCATGAGAAGAACTTACATGCCAGAACTCCTCCGGTGGTGCAGTCCACTCCGGTCTGAAGGCTCCAGGGCAGAGTCGGGACCGCTGGCGGCGGCGGCGGCGGCAGCAGCTTGGCGGTGGATGAGGAGGACACCGAGGAGGAGGGGTCCGTTGAAGAGAGAGAGTGAGGGAGGGAGGTGAGGCCTGCTGACGAAGAGGAGCAGGGAGGCGAAGCTGCAGACTTGGACTCCTCTGAAGGAGGAGGCTTGATGGTCTGAGCCCCCCCAGCTCCCTGGGGGGCAGACAGACCGGACGGACTGGACGACGGGGGGGAAGGACTGGTCTGGTGGGGGCAGTCCTCGGCCGTGAAGGCGGCCTCTGGAGTCTTACAGCTGCTGTCCACCGTCTGGGAGTCGGGCGACGACTCTCTGGCGTCCCGTAGAGGGGCGCTAGAGGGAGGCGGCGTGTGAGGTGGAGAGGAGGAGGGGGGGAGGACGCTGGTGGAGGAGGACGTAGAAGATGAGGAGAAGGAGGAGGAGCAGGGGGGAGGGCCGGTTTGAGCCGTAGAGGGACTGACCTCCTTGCCCCCGTCTCCGCCGGCGGGCGGAGCGTCGTAGGTGGCTCCGCCCCAGCCTTCTGAGGCGGCTTTGGATTGGTTGCCATCACAGGCCGGCGGGGCGGCCGCTCCACCCTTCTTACCGGTTTTCTTGGCCAGGCGGCGCCGGCGCTTAGTTGCCAGAGACGAAGAGGGGGAGGATGCGGAGGAGGAGGTGGATGTGATGGAGCTGGGCTTCGTCTTCTTGGCCTTCAGCCCTGCGGATCCGGCCAAGGAGGACGGCGGCGGCGGCGGCGCCAGGCCGCTCCGCTTCCCTAACGATAGTGGCTCGGAGCACGGCTTCAGGAACGGAGAGCGGCTCTCGTTGTCTCTACAAAAGACCACGGCTATGGAGCCCCCCACCACCGGGCCCCCTGCTGCTCCTCCTGCCCCCCCCGGCCCCAGGAGGTCCATGCTAAGCTTCCCAGAACCCACGCTGGTCCCCGTGGTGCTGCTCACCCCCTCCCGGACCAGAACCGACACCTTGGACTGCAGCTTTCCTTTCCTTTCCTTCTTGGATTTCCCAGACCGGATCAGATCCTTTCTGCTGCTCTTATTCCGGACTTTCTCCTTCCCTACCTTCCTGACTCTCTTTGCCGATGAGAGTCCCGGAGCGCCGGCGGCCGGACCGGGAGCGGCGCTAAGCGAGGACAGACTGTTGCTGGCGGTCCTGGTGGAGGACGATTCGGCTTTTTTGGGGGTGTGCGTCTTCTTCTTGGGGTGACCTTGCCTGGCTTTAGGCGAGGGTTTGACTTTGGGACTTTGGACAGGAGGTTCCAGAGGCAGAGGAGCAGGAGGCGTCTCCTCCAAGGACGGATAATCAGAGTCCAAAGCTTCTCCGTCCAAAGACAGAATGTCCATCTCCAGTTTGTCCGAGTAGCGGTCCGACTCGTAACCATGGTACCTCAGTGGGGACAGCGAGCGGCTGCGGGCTCCTTCCCGGCTCTCGCCGTCTGCTACCGATTTCCATTTCCTCCTCTTCCTGTCCTCGTTGGGACGGCAGGGAGACGCGGGGGCCAGGCGGGGGGAGCCGGGGACGGTGGTGGTGGTCGTGGTGGTGGTTACTGTGATTGTCCGCTTTATAGCAAAGAGGTCCGACCCGTTGAGGTCTTGAATAGACGGCGGGACGACGGGACGGCCTTCCCGCCGGCGCTCCCGGTCTCGGTTGGCGTCCCGGTCCTCCCTGCTGCTCTTGGACCTTTTCTGAAGACGGCGCTCTCTGCTGCTGGACTCCCTCTTCCTCTCCCGCCTCCTGGAACTGGACTCTCGGGCTCTCTCGTCTTTCCTGCGACTGCTGCTGCTGTTACGATGCCGGTCCCTGTCTCTGTGACTCCTCCTGTCCCGGTCTTTGTCCCTGTCCCGGTGTCTCTCCTCAGACATGCTGGAGAAGGAACGTCTGGAGTGCGTCTCCTTCCTGGAGGAGTGTCGGGAGCCCTCAGGGCTGCTGTGGCGTCTCTTCTTTCCTTTCCGAATGCTGCTCCTGCTGCCCCTCCTGACTTTGACCTCCTTCCCGTCCCTCTGTCCTCCTGATTTCTCTTTGCTTCTCCCCCGCTCCTCCTCTTTGCCCTTCCTCCTCTTCTTCCTCCTGGTCACCTTCTCCCCTGGCTTCCTGTCCTTGCTCTTCTGTCTGTCCCGGTCTCTGGAGCTCTTGGAGGCCTTGTGGTTCTTGCTGGGTGTCTCTGCAGGGGGAGTGACGGGGGAGGCAGAGGGGGAGGCCTGAGGAAGGGGAGGCGGGGGCTGAGAAGACAGAGGGGAGGAGGCAGGAAAAGACAGATATCTCTCCTTTCTCCTGCTGACCAGCTTCCTTCTCAGGTCCTCCACTCCGACATCAGGCTCCTCCTCCAGCTCGTCCTCCCAGTTTCCCTCCGTGCAGACGGAGACAAACGCGTCTCCGTCCAGGACCCGGAGGATGCGCTCCGGTTTGGAGCCAAAGAAGGAGTTAGAAGGAGGAGGATCTTCTGGAGGCTTCTTCTTGTCAGCAGCTCCAACGATCTCCCCCTCCTCTATCTCAGAGTGATCCGAGGCCCCGCCTTCCCACTGTCCCCGCGCCTTGGAGCTGCCGTCCACTCTCCTCCTCAGAGGGGGCTGCCGGCTCCTGCTGGGGCTCCTGCCGGGGCTCCTGCTGGGGCTCCTGCCGGGGCTCCTGCCGGGGCTCCTGGGATCAGTCAGAACCTCGGTGGAATCTGGAGGTTCTTCATGGTTGATCTCCACATGTTGCTCCTGGATCTCCTGGTCTTTGAGTCCATCGTCTGACGGCGGGGAGCCGGTGGGGTCAAAGGGGTCGTATTTCTCCCCTTCCTCCCCCGCTGCCCTCCTCTCTTTCTCTCCATCAGTGGGGCTGTAGGGGTAGTGCATGGACCCCCTCCCCTCCTCCTCCTGCATGGGCGAGTGGGGGGCGTTCCTGGAGGCAGGTGAGGTCAGAGGTCGCGTGGACGTAGAAGACACCCTGGCCACCTCGCTCAGAGCTCGGACATCGCCTTTATAGTCGTTTCCAAAGAGAGACGAGGAGGAAGACAACGGAGAAGACGGCTCAGAGGAGGGAGGAGAGGGAGAGGAGAAGGGTGAGCAGGGAGGGGGGCTCCTGGAGGTCTCAGCTGGGGAGGAGGAGGGTGAGGACCTCCTTCTGAAGCCTGTGGCTGATGTAGAGTCCATGGGTGGAGGACCTGAAGCTCAGAGTCTGGCAGCAACCTGAGGACAGAGCAGAGGTCATGACTGCTTGGTTTTCTCTGTCAAAGTATTCACACCCTGCGCAGAGTCTGGATCTACAGCGGCTAGATCTACAGCGGACGGATCTACAGCGGATGGATCTACAGCAGATGGATAAAAAGAGTCTGGATCTACAGCGGCTAGATCTACAGNAAAGAGTCTGGATCTACAGCGGCTAGATCTACAGCGGATGGATAAACAGAGTCTGGATCTACAGCGGACGGATCTACAGCGGATGGATCTATGGTTTTCTCTGTCAAAGTATTCAAACCCATCGAGTCTGAGCCGAACGAACCCAAAGCAGAGGTGAGGCGATCGCTGTGAGCGTCTAGATCTACAGCGGACTGATCTACAGCGGATGGATCTACAGCGGCTGGATCTACAGCGGACTGATCTACAGCGGACGGATCTACAGCGGCTGTGTTTTCATTTCATTTCTATTCTAAACCTTTTCTTTGATCCTTTCATTTCAGCTTATCTAACTGATATTTATCTATAAGTTTTCATTGATTGGATCCAGTTAATGAAGGAGGGGGGGGCTAACCTAGCGGTCAGGGCAAGGCGCACAGACTGACACTCTAGGTCCCTGAGCCAGACCATTAACCCCTCACTGCTCCCCAGTGGGGTGGGTTACATGCATAAACCAGCCCTTCACCATTGGGAAACATGGTGGTGAAAGCATCATGCTGGGGGACCAGCAGACTGGTCAGAACCATAGAAGATGGATGGAGGTCAGGACCATGGTGGATCCTCTGCCCGCAGGAATCAGCTGTCAGAGTGGCCTAGTCAAAGACCAGGAGCCACAGGCCTCCACCCAAATGACCTGAACTCACCCAGAACCATAGATGTTGGTGACGTAGATGTCGGAGGCAGAACTAGCGAGCTTCATGGAGCTTTTCCAGCTGTGATGGAGCCTTTAGCATGAAGCTAACTGTTAGCCTCCCTGTTGGAGCTTCTTCTAGGAGCGCTTTGATTCCAGGAGGATCTTCATCCCGGATTATTCTAGTCTGGTTGATCATTTCTAACCACTTTCAGAGAACAGAAACCTTCTGCTAGCAGCTAGCTCCTTTAGCCTGCAGTGCTAACATGTTACCTTGACGAGGATGTCTTCTTCTTCTTCTTCTTCTGTCTGACGGAGAACCTCCGCCCTTCCTCCACCTGAACTCCTCCAGGCTCTCCAACCGAACCGAACCGAACCGAACCGAAGCTCCAGCTGCTCTGCTCGTTTCAAAACCGAAGGAGTCCTCCTCTATTAGCCGCCGCCATCTTCCTCCCCTGAAGCCGCCGGACAGCAAGGAATCATGGGAAACTGAGTTTTTCTGATGGGTAGTCATCGCAGATGCCTCTCTGCATTGACCCCCCCGGGACTTCAGCATAAAGTGCACCTCGCCCTGGCCGGTTCTAGCTAGGGGCCAACGGGGGCCAGTGCCCCTGTTATTGGCCCTGTTCTGAAGACATAATAGTTGAAACTAATTCTAATAATGATGCTCTGGAACAGACATGGTTACTGATGGCTCCTTTGGATCTAGTTCATTATTTTCTTTACAAATTCTGTTTTACTAATTATTCAAAAACAATAAGGTGATAGCTTCAGATAGGATCCCAGTTTTCATCTGTTAATTTTTTTTTTCTTCACAACAAATAAAAAAAATGCTTTTTTTAAAGATGTATTTAACAATTTATCTTAAGTTCTAATTCAAATTTGATAGAAAACTGTAGTTTTAACTTCAATTAAGTGAAAAATTCTAAATGTACATTGACCTCATAAGAAATAAATTTTTTATTGAACCTCATTGAAAATAAATTAATATATTTGAATCTCTTGCCCTGTTTTTATTTCATGCTTTTCTGGGCCCCCAGGGAAACACGCTGGCCCCCTCCTGGCCCCCTGGTACATTTGGTCTAGGTTCTCAGAGCTTCTTTTGCAGCATTTTTATTTATTGCCATTAAAGTGTCACCAGTTGAGAGGAGTGTCATTCACCCTCCCCCTCAGGGAGCTTCACTAAACACTGACAAAATAGGATTTTTATGATAAATCTTTAAGGAAATAAATCAAATTATTAGAAATCAATTAATTAAATTCTTAAAAAAAACTAGTGGTAGGAGGAAAGCACTTCAAGTACCAGGTTCAATCCCCACAGCCTCCACTCAGAGTCCCTCAGCAAGGCCGTTAAACCGCACAGTGGCAACCCACTACTCCCCTTGGGGACCTCCTGGTCCCTCCCGGGGGCGGTGGACCTCCTGGTCCCTCTCTTGGGCGGCGGACCTCCATGTCACTCTGGGGGGCGGCAGACCTCCTGGTCCCTCCCGGGGGCGGCGGACCTCCTGGTCCCTCTGGGGGGCGGCGGACCTCCATGTCCCTCTGGGGGGCNGGCGGACCTCCATGTCCCTCTGGGGGGCGGCAGACCTCCTGGTCCCTCCCGGGGGCGGCGGACCTCCTGGTCCCTCTGGGGGGCGGCGGACCTCCTGGTCCCTCTGGGGGGCGGCGGACCTCCTGGTCCCTCTGGGNGGGGGCGGCGGACCTCCTGGTCCCTCTGGGGGGCGGCGGACCTCCTGGTCCCTCTGGGGGGCGGCGGACCTCCTGGTCCCTCTGGGAGTAACCAGGAGTTTCTTTCTTTAGAGTTTTGGCTAATGCTAATATAAAATCTGACCTGTGATTTGAACTAAAGGCCTGTGTTTCCATGGAGACCAATCAGTTGAGGAAAGGTCATTCTGGGACGGGGCTGCTTCACCAGTTCCTGCTTGGAATCAGGGTCCGACCCGGGGCCTACCGGGTCAGAACCATTCAGACGAGGCAAAACGTTCAGATTAAAAGTGGAGATCAGTGAGAGAAAAGGAAAAGTTCTGATAGAAAATGACCCAAAGCCCGGTTGAACAAACCACAGAACCACCGTTCACAGACAAACATCTTTATTCCCCGTAATCCGGTTCTGAACATAAAGCTTTAGAATCCTAATTCCAACAGAATCACAATCCAAAAAAAAGAAGATATTCTAGAAACCAAAAGATTTTCACAGCAAAATACAAAACAGGGAAACCAGCAGAACCAATGGGAGCGGAACCAGTCTGACCCATTTGTACCCGGGTCCAGTGACTGGAACAGAACCTGGAGGATGAATAAAGCCATAAATCCTCTATTGCACTAATGATGGGAACCACAGAGGTCCCACTGGAACCAGAACGTCCTCAGAGGTCCAACTGGATCCAGAACGTCCTCAGAGGTCCCACTAGATCCAGAAGGTCCTCAGAGGTCCCACTGGATCCAGAACGTCCTCAGAGCTCCCACTGGATCCAGTGGGAGCTCTCTGGCTCGCTTTAAGCTATGTCCAACCTGGAGGTCCTGTGAGCAACAAGTTCTCCAGAACTTTAGTTCAAACAGGAACCATTTATTGACCTGGTACTTATTGAAGCCTTAAAAGCTGTAAACATAAAGATTAGAACCTGACCAGATCAGAACCAGTCTGGCTCTGCTGCACCGACCCACAGAAAATATAACAAAGATCCAAATGAAAACTAAAGCTGACTCTGGTTTGAGAACCAGAACCGTTTCTAATGATGGTTGGATCCGGTTCCTCCTGGTCAGCAGAACTGAACCAAAACCTGCAGAACTTCCACTGTGAAGGCCTGGAGAGTGACTTCTTTGGTTCTGGTTCTGTTGATCCATCAGAAAAGCATTAAAGGTTTGTGGCTGAAAGGTGAGTTCTGCTGGTTCTGGTTCCTGAGCTTCAGCAGAACGGGCCCAAAACTCTGAGTCCGGTTCTCAAATAAAAGATTCTACAAAATGGAGCATTTGGCACCTTTGGATTATTGCTGCCTGGTCAGGAACCAGAACCAGAACCAGAACAGGAGGAAGCAGACAGACGGTTCTGAAAGCAGCAGGTTGGACCTCAGGCTGAAGCTTGCAGAACAGAATCCTTTAAAAATCTAAATCCAAACGGTTCTGTTTGCTTCTCCTGCTGCTCTTAAAGTACAGGGCCCCTCTAGTCTAGTCGGGCCGGTCCAGCACTGCTGGACCCGGCGAGGTGCGGTTCTAATCAGAACAGCCCAGCATCTTTGGCCATCTTGTAGAACAGTCCTCTGCTGGCGATCAGGTTGGACGGCGAGTCGAACTCGGCCATCTGGCCTTTATCCAGAACCAGAACCCTAAAGGACACAAAGAACCGGATCAGAGCAGAACTACAGACAGCTACATGTTTGGAGTCCTGGTCCACCTGGTTCTCCTCCTGGTGGGACGTGCCTGGAACCCCTCAGAGGGAGGCCTCCATCAGACAAAGATGATCCTCCTCAGCTGACTCCTCTGTAGGAGAAGCAGCTCTACTCTCATCCGTCTATAGATCCGTCTATAGATCCGTCTATGGGTCCGTCTATAGATCCGTCTATAGATCCGTCTATGGGTCCGTCTATAGATCCGTCTATAGATCCGTCTATGGGTCCATCTATAGATCCGTCTATAGATCCGTCTATGGGTCCGTCTATGGGTCCGTCTATAGATCCGTCTATGGGTCCGTCTATAGATCCGTCTATGGGTCCGTCTATGGGTCCGTCTATAGATCCGTCTATGGGTCCGTCTATAGATCCGTCTATGGGTCCGTCTATGGGTCCGTCTATGGGTCCGTCTATAGATCCGTCTATGGGTCCGTCTATGGGTCCGTCTATGGGTCCGTCTATG